CCCTTAACCATACGAGTGGCCCTTCTCTGGACCCTCTCCAGGTTATCCGCATCCCTCTTGAAGTGCGGCGCCCAAAACTGCACGCAGTACTCCAACTGCGGTCTGACCAGCGCCCGATAGAGGGGAAGTATCACCTCCTTGGATCTGTTCGTCATGCATCTGCTGATGCAAGATAAAGTGCCATTAGCTTTTCTGATGACTGCGTCACACTGCCGACTCATGTTCATCTTGGAGTCCACTAGGACTCCAAGATCCCTTTCCGCTTCCGTGCCACCAAGCAGGTCATTTCCTAGGCAGTAGGTATGTAGACATATTCACAGAGTCCATGGAAAACATCTCCCACTGAAGGATCAGCTATATGCCTATAGCTATATGCCTCTCCCAGCCCAAGACAGGCAGCAGTCAATGCAGGTGGTATCCTGTGGTGTTGGGAATTCTACCTACTCTTCTACCCGGAGCAGGGAATAGTACAGCAATCTTTGAAGATAGAAACAGAAAACCAACCTTACTCTTTCAAATGAACAGCTGCCACTTTTACTGATGCACATTGGGAAAAGTCTCCAGGAGCACACTGCTATAAAGGAACTTGGGTCAGGGGTTCCTGGGGTGGAAGTGGCAGTCAGGAAGTTGCAGGGAAGTGGCAGTCAGGTCTGATAAATCTGAGCTTTGGCTGCAGGGCTAAGCAGGACTGCTCATCCCCTCAGCAGCAAGACAAACTGGCTGCACTAACAGCATTTTCCCAGCATTAAGAGATGCTGTGCAGTGTTCTCAGCAAGGTAACTCTCACGGCACAGCTGGTGGGCTGCGGAGCAAAAGGCCTCTGGGCTGCCCCTGGCTGAAGGCCAGGTACAGTCCCTGTCTCCAAGCCAAGGCTGCCTGAGTTCTCTGCCCATGTGTGAGCCCTATCAGCTGAGTTCCCCCAGGTCCCTGGGGCCCTGAGCTTACACACACAGAAGACCCCCCTGCCCTTACACAATTCTACACAGGAACCCAATGTTCTTACACACATATACATGCACACATACAGTCCACCCCTATCACCCACACAGCCACACAGATCAGAGCCCTCTTTCCTGATATCTTATTAACACCACTAGAGAGTGCCCTTGCCCATTCACACACACACACACGCACGTACCCTGGCCTTTACATACATATCCGAAGGCTCCTGTCCTTATAAACTCACACACACACACTATGCATGTGGCCCCAGCCTTTCACACTTTTATTCATGTGCAGCCCAGAGCCCTGCCATTTTACAGTGTGCCCTCCCAACACTCATGCAAACAGAATTCCCTTTTCTACTTCCTCCACACACTGCAACTCCTCTGCCCTTTAATGCACATGCCACCATAGCCCTTGTCTTGCTCCATACATATATCCTAACCAGCCAAAGGCTAGAAGACCAATTTGACTCAGTTCCCCACAAGTGCAGGAGCTCTGCGGGGAGCTGTAACCCGAAGGATCATTTCCTTAAGGCACAGCCACCCTTCCTGGGCTCCCATCTCTTCAAAACTCCTACTCTGCAGTGCGTCCTTGACTAATCGCCTGAGTTCATTGAAATCAGCTTTCCTAAAGTCTAGCACTTTCACCCTACTCGTTACCTTACCCACTCGACGTCTTATGGTGAATTCTATTATTCACCATTGTTGAATCAGGGGACCAATTAAAAGGTCCGAATTGATTCAAAGCTCCTGCGCTGAGCCACCCATCTCACTGTGCCCGTCCACCTGCCAAGCTCCAAGTGCCTCCTTGGGGGCGCCTCATGTCTGAGGTGCCACCGCC